ATGTGCTGTCAAGTCAATTCTGAGTTTTTCGGGATTTTCCAGGTAGAAAGTACTCAGAAGTGGTTTACCATTCCCTTGGAATCTGATAAAACTTAGCCCTAGAGATTCATTGAAACATTTGTATCTGTGTAAATCAACATGCACGGGGATCCTGTGCTATCTCCGAATGACTAATTGCAGAAAACCATTAAGGAAGCCTCTTTGAGAACTCAAATACAAAAGCTTTGCAGAAAACCATTAAGGAAGCCTCTTTGAGGACTCAAATAAATACAAAAGCTTCTTAGCACACTATACATATTTCTTTAATATCTCATGAGTATAAAAGTAGTTGTCTTCCTTAACATATTCAGACCTGTGCAAGGACTTCTAGCTTTTTCATGACAGCCAAACCTACCTGGCCTGCAGCTTAGACAGGCAGGCAGGCAGGCAGGCAGGCAGGCAGTCTTTGCACTTGAATCTGAAGAACTGGATTTTGATTGCAGCGAAATAGATAGATAGATAGATAGATAGATAGATAGATAGATAGATAGATATTCTTTGCACTTGAATCTGAAGAAGTGGATTTTGATTGCAACGAAGTAAATCTGTATTTAAAGGGCTACAGTATTCTGCTTTCCGCCAGACTTTTTTCCCTTTTAATTTTGTCAGCATGCTAAAGAAAGATGTAACACAGCTGCCTCTTTAGAGATTCCATTAAGAAAGCTCTGCTTCTTGTTATAAAGCTGGCATAGAGATTCCATTAAGAAAGCTCTGCTTCTCATTATAAAGCTAGCACCTCCTCCATTTCTATCCTGAGATGGTCCATTCTTCCTCCCAGAACTTCTTTATTTGGTGTCGTCTCTTTGGAACCTCCTATCCAGATCCTCCTTTTCCCCACCAAACTCTGCCTCTCCATCCATTGGGGCCGAGGCAGAGAATCTAGAGTATGTGTTTTAATTTTTTGCTGTCTTTTGTGTTTGTGTTGCCAGGACATTTTGTTCCCTTACGTCAAAGACCACATTCAGGATTACCTGCGGGCACACTGGGAAGAGGAGGAATGCCAAGAAGATGTCGGCCTTTTGAGGAAACAGGTGGGAAGGTTTGATGCCTCTCTTCCTTTCTTGTGTTTGTCTGTTCTGCATTAATCCGTACAGCAATATAACATTTCAGATTGTCGGGTAACCTGCTGCTTTCATTTGGATCTAAGCCTGTTTTCAAAAAGTCTTTTGAAAATGCTGGGTTTAGGTCTTTTGGAAGAGTAATTTTTCCTTTTCTCTATCTTTCCACTAGATGGAGAGGAAGGAGTAGCAGAGGGAGAGGGGGAGAGAGAGAAGGGATGGCCTCACCCAGTTCTGGAGAGTATCACTGTCATTTGATCAGTTTCATTCACTCTCAACATGTGGCCCCAGTAGATTAACACAAAGGGAATGTGGCCCTGGACACAATGTTTTGATCTAAAACAGTCCCAGCCTTGGATTGTTCATTTAAATTTTTTTAATGGGTTGAGGTTCCCTTCTTAAACATTCTTAGTATTTTAGGCATGCCCTGGATAATACGTACCGTCATGCCCCGCTTAACGTGAAGCGAATCCGCTTCACGACAATGTTTTTGCAATCGCAGTTGCGATCGGAAAACAATGGTGTAAATGGGTTTTTTTTTCGCTTTGCGAAGATCGGTTCCCTGCTTCGGGAGCTGATTCTTCGCATTACGACGATCAAAACAGCTGATCGTCAGGTTTTCAAAATGGCCGCCGGGTGCTCAAAATGGCTCCCCGCTGTGCTTAGGGATGGATTCCTCACTATACAGGCACCGAAAATGGCCGCTGTATGGAGGATCTTTGCTGGACAGTGAGTTTTTAGCCCATTGGAACGCATTAACCGGGTTTTAATGCGTTTCAATGGGTTTTTAAATTTCACTTTACGACGTTTTCGCTCTACAGCGATTTCGCTGGAACGAATTAACGTCGTTAAGTGAGGCACCACTGTACATGAAATATTGTAAACATGGTGCAGCTATTTTCCAAACTCCCAGCTGTCTTAAGACTTCCTAGAGAACCGTAGCAGACTTTTTCCTTTGTTTTTTTAAAACTGGATTACACAGAGCAAAGTGTCACTCAGCCGTGAAGACTCATTAGGTTTCCATGTTCACCTGTTGTCTCCCTCCTTAACTTCCAAAGGCTGAAGAAGATTCTCGCCTGGACGGTGTTGTGCCGATCCCAATGGAGAGCAGAGATGGGGAAGAGGAGATAGAACGAATCATCCAGGCTGTTGTTGACAACGTCTGCTGGCAGATGTCTTCAGACAGAAAGACCACGGCCTTAAAGCAGCTCCAGGGTCACATATGGAGGGCAGCATATGAGACTGGCCACGTGAAGGGCGAGTGAGTAGCAAGCGTGGATGAACTAATGGCCAGTGTTTCATAAGTATCCTGCTCTCACACCTGGGGTGTATGCACATCTCATATCCAGAATATGATTCCTCTCTTACCTTGTCTTCACATGCAAGGATAAAGAGTTGCACAATTATTCTCCTCACCCTGTGGAAGGCATAGATGTTTTGTGATGCTCTCGACAAAAGAAGAGAACAAGAAAAAAATTTATTGGACTTTCATGTGTCCCATTCCTACAGTAGATTTATTCTGTTTTGAGAATAACCAGATTTCATTAAGATCCTCCCATTATTTAGCAGCACCAAATTTTGCTGTTGCAGTCCTGAGCCGGACTCTGTTATGACTTTGATCGTGCACCTGTCTGGGACATAACTAAGCACCATTGGCTTTGGGGTATCTAGTACTGATGAACAGAGCTTGTTAATTGCACTTTCAGGTATCCCGTGGGCTGTCGTTCTTAAGATCTGCTGTTCTTCTGCATTACAGGCTCTTTGAGGATGTGGTTCCAGCAGTGAGAAAGTGGAAAGAAGCAGGCAAGAAGGTTTATATTTATTCATCTGGGAGTGTAGAGGCACAAAAACTCTTGTTTGGGAATTCTACAGAAGGTGATATTTCAGAGGTAGGTGCTGCTTTGAAAGTTTACATGTTCTCGGCTGTTCATTGTGTTATATTTGTTTAATGCAGTAAACTGCTCAGAGTGGACTTGGCAGCCAGGTGGACGGTATAAATGTCAAATGAATGAACGAACAAACGAATGAACAAATTCATTTCTAGTCTTACTTTTCCCCCCTACAAAAATCTGCTGTTTTTTTTTAAAGTGTCCTCCTTGAATTTTTCAGCTCATTGATGGCTATTTTGACACCAAAATAGGTGCCAAATTTGACCACGAGAGTTACCAGCGGATAGCCGCGAACATTGGATGTTCCACAAACAATATCCTGTTTCTGACAGATGTCACTCGAGGTAAGGATGCTCCAGCTAGCTATCTTGATGTTATCCTTATTTCAGTTGGAGTACTGTTGTTTTGACCTGCAAAGTAACTGGTGCCTGAAGAAATTTCTGTGAAGAAGTGCATGCAAAGAATGTCCCAGGTCTGGGTGGGGACCTGTGGCTCTTTTTGGGACAGGGGCTACAAATCCAGTAAGGCCAGGACAGCATAGATAGTGGCAGTGGTCTATGAGAGTTGCAGGTTAACTACTGTGTTTTTCCATGTATAAGGCGCTACTTTTTCCTAAAATACAGTGGTGCCTCGCTTAACGATCGCCTCGTTAAACGACGAAATTACTGTACAATGACTGTTTTGCGATCGCAAAACGATGTTTTAATAGGCAAAATTCGCTTCCCGACAATCAGTTCCCTGCTTCGGGAACCGATTTTTCGCTAGACGACGTTTTTAAAATGATTGGCAGCTTCAAAATGGCCGCCTGCTGTGTAAAATGGCTCCCCACTGTGTTTTTGGACAGATTCCTTGCTGCACAGGCACCAAAAATGGCTGCCCCTATGGAGGATCTTCGCTGGACGGTGAGTTATTCAGCCCATTTGAACGCATTGAACAGGTTTTCAATGCGTTTCAATGGGATTTTTTATTTCGCTTAACGAGGATTTCGCTGTACAGCGATTTCGCTGGAACGGATTATCCTTTTTAAGCAAGGCACCACTGTAGTTAAGACTAAAAATTGAGGGTCGTCTGATACACAGAAGCCGAACCTATGGCATGCATGCCACAACTGGCATGCAGAGCCCTCTCTCTGGGCACGTGAGCCATGCTGATGGTGCTGCCCATGCAGCACCGCTTTCTGCCGGGGCCCAGCTCAAGCTCACGCTGCCGCCTTGTCCCCCACCCAAAGGGAGCCCACAAGTGGCTCTGGAGGCGGTGATCACATGGCGACAGCAGGAGGAGGCGAAGGAGGAGCTGTGCCTGGCCACCCCTCAGTGCGAAATCACTGCTGCCCATTGACTGCGACTCTGGCACTGCAGGAGAGTGAGCGGGGCACAGTGCAGTACAGCGCAGGAAGCCTGGGCGAATGCCTGCCTATATTTGGGGAGGGTGAAAAAGATGTCCCCTGGCTGCCCTCCGGAGGATGCACCAGCCTGGAGGGTGCCTGCTGATTTGGTCACTCGGGGTCAAAATGGGGGTGTTATACATGGGGGGGTGTCTTATACATGGAAAAAATATGATACATCTGGAGGGGCTGCAATTGTCCACTCACCTTGTTCTTGTTATGAGGCATCAGGTTGCCTTCAGCTTATGACTACCTTATGAATGAACTATCTCCAAAATGTCCAGTCCTCAATTGCCCTGCTCGGCTCTTGCTCAAGCCTGTGGCTTTCTTTACGGAGTCAGTCCATCTGGTATTTGGTCCTCCTCTTCCCCTGCTACTTTCAACCTAGATGGCAACTTTTTTCTGCCACTTGTTGGCTTTTAGCTCCTGTCTGTTCAGAACAGTGTGTGCGTGTCCCTGTACTGAGCCAGAGATGGGGCATATCTGTTGAGGCAGCAGAGGCTGTCGAATCCAACTGCAGGGAATCGGAAGTAGGAACACTATTTGATACGATGGAGATGTTCCCACTGGGAAGGGTGGTAGCTTAGTGTCAGGGCTTACCTCTGCAGGCAGAAATGCTCATGCTTAGTCATTGCTATCTCCAGGAAGAACCCTAGGAGGCCTTACTAGAACGGATACCTGCCCGTTGCCTTTCACTTCAGACACAGCTGTAACTAGCAATCTTGGTGTCCAGGGCAAACAGCAGTGTCTCTTACCCACTCTGCCCTGAAGCATTGGGTGCAGAGCCCCAGGAAAAAAGAGGGGAGAGATCGTGGTGGCCTCCCCAAAAGAAATGGAATGTTTAAGTTTCCAAGAAAAGGAAAGTGAATAGGGTAAGGAGTTGTTGTCATTTATTTTCCCAACACCAGTAGATTTGCCTCTAGAAGATCTACTACTGTACTGGAGAGATCCATGGTTTAGGTCTTTGGCTGTGGAGTCAGAGGTTGAGAGTTCGATTCCCCGCTGTACTTCCTTGATGGGCTGGATGCGATCATCCAGAGGGTCCCTTCCAGCTCTACAGTTCTAAAATGACAAT